GTACTTTTTATGATGGATGGATGCACTTTTTTGGGCTTTAAAATCTTAACCACCATTCACTGCCATTATAAAGCTTGAAAGAGCCAAGACAGTTTTTAATATAACTCTGATTGTATTAATCTGAAATAAGAATATTACATATAGTCATATACACCGAGGCTAGGATGCCTTGAGGGTGAGTAAATCATGGGGTAATTTAATTTTTGGGTGAACTATAAACTAAACTAAACTAAACTAAACTAAACTAAACTAAACTAAAATAAAATAAAATAAAATAAAATAAAAAACAGACGCTCGCAAGCTAGCTGTCGCCTGACGCGGCATCGTCTTTAAAGGCTCCGGCATTGCCCTCCAAGACGCTAAGAACTACATCAGCGCTGGTGGGCAAAGGGTACTCGGCAGCGGGTTAGGCTGGCGCGTGTCTGCACACCATGGCAGTTTTACAGGCATACCAAGCCGACCTGCTTAAAGAGCTAGACGAGCGTGATATAGCTTCCTGGTCATTACGTCACCCGCCCGTGACGTCTCGCCCATCTATTGGACTGATTACACACGAGATTCAGAGCTGGTCACGCTGAAGGGCGTTCCCTAAGCGTCCTCCGACGCAGCGTCTCGTTCCGTCGATGAACCATGGTTACATACGTAACCTGAGACGTTTTACCATAACAGGAATAAATTACATTTTTAAATATATTAACATAAAACTGCTACTTTAAATTGTAATAATATTTAATTATCACTGTTTGTATTGTATTTTTGATCAAATAAATGCAGCCGTGGTAAGCATAAGATAATGCTTTCAAAAACAAATAGCAAAAACAAAAACTGTAAATTTAGTAATTTATTAAATTATCAAACCATAATATTTACTAGGGTATTTTACCTGAGGATTGTCTACATATGTTATATGGATAGAAAAAAAAGTGACTGTGAAAAAAATTTAGGGTCTGAATACTTTTGGTACCCACTGTATGTATATATATATATATATATATATATATACAGTATAATGCTTGCTGACACAGGAACTGAATACTTATGCAAACAAGGTATATCTTTTTTCTAGTTGTTGTTGCGTAGAATATTTTCTGACATGAAACATTGTCACAATACATATTATTTATTTTTTCCAGTGTTTCAGTTCTTGGCATGTGTGACTTTCCTACTTCTAATCAATCCACATTTTCTGGAATAAGCTAAATCAGCAAAGCTGTCACTTCGGCTTGGGTCAGGGCTTTTTCAAAGCCATAGGTTTCAAAAGTGTTTATCTCACTAGATCATTGTCAGTAAAACCTCTTTAAATAGATATTAAAGTCACGTCTACATAAGTCCCATCTGTCGCAGTCATAGCTGTACAGTAGATCGACGATGTTTAGAGGCACAATTGATCTTTTAATAATGTCATGACCATCTCATGACCTGTCGCAGGGGCTATATTTGTCATCAGAGAGAAAATGGGGCCTTCCAGGTCTTGTGAAAATTAGGCAAAGGGTCAGGTGATGCAAGATGGACACAAGTTCTCCTCTTTCCTCTCTTATTTACCTTTAAAAAAGTTATTAGACGTGAGATCACTTGTGGCATTCTGTCATTATTGTCATTTTGCATGAGTGCAATGGTGGTGAGTTGTGAACACTGTGACAGCAGATTGACCCAGGCTGCTGTTCACTTGATTGATATCTGTGCAGACAATGATCGTTCTGAGCTTTTTTTCTTCTCCCCCTTGTACTGTGCTAGTTGGTCGGAAAGGGAATTGTGGGTAGGGGGAGGGCAGATATGGGGGAAAATGTCACACCAGGAAAGTCAGCGAGGCGTAAAGCCCTGCATGGACAAGCGGGGGTCAGTGGCTTCTTTTTGCCCTCTCTGTGCCCTAGGTAAAATGATCTAAGTGATCCTGGAGCTCTGCCACTGAGCCGCTGAGCGAGAGACAGGCATAGTGTGAGGCTGAACGCATGGAGAGAGAGACAGAGATTAGCATGGATAACAAACAACTACCTTTAAATATGCAGGGTTCAATACAAGTTAAGCTCAACTGACAGCACTTGTGGTGTAATGTTGATTGACACAAAAATAATTTCTGGTTAAATCTGGTTAAAAAAAAAGTAAAATCTGGGTTACAGTGAGGCACTTTCAATGAAAGTGAATGGAGCCAATCTGTAAATGTTGAAGTCGTCACTTAATAAAATCTATTTTGTAAATGCACATTATCCATTTATTGATGACGTTTGTAGGACTTCTCCAATCACTGTAATTATCTGCAAATCATTCATATTATTTTTTGTATTAATTTTGCAACACCCACATCGTGAAATCCAATTGACAACCAATAGATAGAACCAAGTCCCTGCTATTCATTTTTTGACACTCAGACTTACATCACAATAGGGAAAAAAATCTGTTGCTACCTTGCTACATAAAGTTACATCCTATTTTTCCAACTTCCCCCATAAACCACTAAAACAACATTAAAATTAATTAACATCTCAAATAATAATATAATAATAATGTAAGTTTTAACAGGAAA